CAGCGACGCCAGAGCCCGTGGGCGCCGTTCGCGAGGCCGCCTCAGGCGCCCGGCCGCAGTGCGGGGAGCCCCAGGGCCCAGAGGCCGCCGCCGCCGCCGCCGCCATGCCTCTGCTCTTCCTGGAGCGTTTCCCCTGGCCCAGCCTCCGCACCTACACGGGCTTCAGCGGCCTGGCCTTGCTAGGCACCTTCGTCAGCGCCTACCGCGCCCTCAGCCAGCCGGAAGCCGGGCCGCGCGAGCCGGAGCCGTTAACGTCCCCACTGCAGCCCGAGGCGCTCTCACCCGCGCGCCTAGCCGCCGGCGTACCCCGGGCCGGCGACATGGCCCAGTACTTGCTGTCCGACAGCCTCTTCGTGTGGGTGAGCAAGGCCGCGGGGGCGGGCCGCGGGCCCGCCATGTCACCCATTATCCGGGCGGGGGAGACGGGGAGGGGGTGTGGCCGGGCTTGGGCTGGGGGGGGTCGAGGCGCCGCAGGAGGCCGAGGAGGCCTGGGTCGCACGGTGCGTGGGGGCTCCATGCCGAGCTGTGCGGCCGGGGACGGGGACGCGGGACCGGTTCCCGGTGCCAGGGAAGGGCGGGGGAGGCCCTCTCAGAAGCGCAGTCGCTCGACAGGCTCTAGGATAGCCGGGTCGTGGCCGGGGCCCTGAGGAGCCGGGGAACTTGAGTCAAGCGCTCGGATGCGGTGGGCGATTTTCCGACGGAGAAGAGAGGGTCGAGGGGACAATTCAGATGTTGAGTTTGGGCGAATTTTTACGCATTTCAGTGTGCTGAGGCAGTCACGGCCCCTCATAGAACAACTTTTTCATGTCGCTGTTCAGTCATGGGCTGCACTCTGTGGCAAACCAGCTGCGTTCTTTTTTTGCTGCTTTTACCTCATGATTCATGACTCTTCCCTTGATGTCTGAAAGAGGCAGCGCCTCATTTTAACTCAATTTGTCCTTTTAGCTATTCGTTTTAAAACAGGGTTTCCAGTTTGTCTGCCTGAGCGAGATAAGGTACGCTCACATGGCACAAGTACTGGTTTCGTTTATTGGATCATTGCAAGTTGAGCAGATCTGAAAAAAATTGTACTCTTACCTTATACTTGAATGCCACTTCTGTAACCTTCAGTGATCAGAAGAGTTCCCCGGGGATTTCAAGCCTTTCACCTGGATTTACTCTGGCGTCTGGGATCTTGTCTCCACCTGCACGTTCTCATTCGGTGCTGAGAGTAGGCTGTAAATGACTGAGGGGTTAATATTCCAAGTTTAGAGAACAATACGCGGCTCATTTGTTATAATTACTCCCACTGTGCTTCATCCGGAAGCAGTGGGATTTGTGAATTCCGTGGGCTGCGGAGGATTAAGTCTCCTGGTCCCTCCGTAAAGGGTTTGATAGAAGGCAGTGAAGGGTGAAGTTCCCGTTTCTCTATTTCTGTATAAAGATGAACTGTTCCGGTACCGAAGATGGGAGAAGGAATTCAGTTCATATCTCTTGTTTAATCTCAAATCCGTTTGAGCATTTGAGTTAGCAGACAAACAACTTGAAATTATATGGAATGTTTTTGCCAATGTGAAGATTGTAGTGTAGGGTATGATACATTCTTTTTTAAAAAAATATTTTTATTTTTTGTTTATGCGTGTATTGCCTGCATGTAGGTAAATGCACCTGTGTCCTGCAATGCAAAACCCGGCTCTTCTGCATGAACAACCAGTGTTCTGAACCACTGAGCCATCTCTCCAGCCCCCCCCCCATATATTCTTATGTATATGATATGCACAAGCCTTTCAGAAGGAACCACTATTGTATTGACAGAACAACTGCTACTGTTGTTTATTTTATTTCATTTTTTTGTAAAAGTTTCTTGCAAAACTCATGTTCAGTTCCAAAGTTAATACCTCTTAATAAAACATGACCTTTTAAAGCCTGTTGATTTTTCTGAGAACTAATTTTTAAGCAATTCTCCTTTTCTTCATGTCTTATGCAAGTTTAATAATTTCTTCCCATCTGTTGAATTTCTCAATGGAGCTTCATGCTGTTTTTCCATCTCCTCTGGGGTTTAACGTGGTTATTTTGGTTGTATGGTGGCTGCCCAGACCCTCCTGGTGTGTGCTTACCATCTAGTACCTACTTGGTCAAAATGGGTGCTCCTTGAGCCCCATTCAGAGGCATTGGATAATTAATCCCGCCTCCCCAACTCTGCCTAGCAGGTGGAGGGTGTAAATTAAAGAAATTTTTTTTAAAGAAATTTTTTTCATTCATGTGTCTGTGTGTGTCTGTGTGTGGGTATACCACATGTGTGTGAATGCCCACAGAAGCCAAAAGAAGGTATCAGATCCCTTGGACTGGAATTACAGGAGGTTGTAAGCTGCCTGATGTGGGTGTTAGGAATCAAACTTGTATCTCTGGAAGAAAAGAAAGAGCTCCTAACTCATGAGCCATCTCTCCAGACCCTCAAACTTTTAATAATTTTTTAACTTAAAACAAGCTTAACTGAAAACTAATTTTTGTTTTGTGACTCAGGATATGCAAGAGTACTGTTTTCGATAGAGAAATGTTTATATATTTGCTTTCTCTTCAAATTTTTTAAAGCTCTGAATTCCTCCATGCCTTGAGGACTTAATAAATATGTTGCATTTGCTTTTTAAAACTCATAAGACTATATGTAAATCAGGAAGAATTTTTTTAAAATTATTATTTTTATGTGTATGAGTGTTTTGCCTGCATGTATGTAAGTGCATTCATGCATGCAGTTTCAACAGAGGCCAGAAAAGGGTGTCAGGTCCCCTGGAACTGAAGTTAAGGACAGTTGTTAACCACCATGTGGGTGCTGGGAACTGAACCCAGGTCCTCTGAAAAAGCAGCCAGTGTTCTTAACTACAGAGCCATCTCTCTAGCCCCAGAAACAATCTTTTTTAAAAATGTGTTGCAATTAAACTATAGGAATATTTAGTTGATTTTAAATAAAAACCCTGTTTGTCTGGGCAAGGGGGATGAGGCATGAAGGTTGTGGTTTTGTGTTCATACATTTTTCCTAATTTATATAGTTGAGATTCCCACTGGCAAAGTACAAGGGAAGTGAGCCTTGAGTGACGTCCAGCAGTCTCAGTCCTCTGAGATGCTCTGAGCAGGGCTCCCACACAGAATGACAAAGGCTGTAGTATTTTTGGTGAACTACCCCTTTCCCTGTTAAAGGATTTAAGTACCAAAACAGTTTTCTTTTTTCAGTGGAACTATTTTTGTTTTCATTCTTTAGAAATATATTACATATTTCCTGGTTCCATTAAGCAACAGACTAGAACTAAACATAATTTAGTCTTTCTATAATGAATCAGGGCTGCCATTATGTGTTCTACCAGAGGAGCATGTGGTGTGAGATACGGAGAACCTTGAGAGTTGGCCTCCTCTCCTTCCTCTTCCTCCCTCCTCCACCTCTTTCCTCCTCCACCTGTTTCCTCTTCCTCCTCCTCCCCTTCCTCCTCCTCCTCTTCCTCCTCTCCTTCCTCTTTTTCTTCCTCCTCCTCCTGTTTCCTCTTCCTCCTCTTTTCTCCTCCTCCCCTTCCTCCTCGTCCCCTCCTTCCTCTGACTTCTTCCTCCTTTTCCTCCCTCCTCCTCTGCCTCCTTCTCTACCACCTTGTCTTCTTCATCCTCCTTCCTCCTCCTCCCTCCCTCCACCTACTTTCCCCCTTCCTCCTTCCTTCTTCTTCTACCTCCTTCTTTGCCTTCTCCTCTGTTCCTTCTCCTCCTCTGCCTCCTCTTCCTGCTCCTCACCCTCTTCCCTCCTCCTCCTCCTCTTTCCTCTTCCCGTTTCCCCCTCTTCCTCCTCCATCCTCCCCCTCCTCCCCCTTGCCTATCTTAAAACAACAAAAACAAAATGGGGGAAGGAAGAATGACTTATGACTTACCCATTTGCTGTTTAGGTATCCATCTCCTGGGGCTGGAGAGATGGGTCAGTGGTTAAGAACACTGACTGCTCTTGCAGAGGACCTGGGTCAATTCCCAGCATCCACATGGTGGCTACGAACCTTCCTTAACTTCAGTTCCAGGGGAATCTGAAGCCCTCTTTTGACCTCTGCGGCATTGCACGGCACGGGTGCACTCACATACATGCAGGCAATACACTCATACACATAAAATAATAATAAAATATTTTTTAAAAATCCATCTCCATTATTTTAAGAAAGAAAAGTTTCCCATTGTGGTCCCAGAGTAGCTCTTCATTTCTCAGCCCGCTACTATCCCTACCTGGTCATTTGTCAGGGCAGGATATTCGGGTTCTGGATCTTATTGATCATGATGACTTCTAGGACAGTTCTCTTAAAGCTATACAAGTGCTCAGATCTCTGTGAGAGACAGGCCAGCCTGGTCTATGTAGTGAGCTCCAGGCCAGCTGGGGATACAGGGAGACCCTCTCTCAAAAAAATAAGAAGCTTTTTTCAGTCAGGAGGTTTTATATTACAGTTTCAATTCCTTATTTGTTATGGGTCTGTTTAGGCTGTTGATACCCTCTTGGTTTAACTTTGGTGGTGGCCATGCTTTTAGGAGTTAATCCGTTTCTTTTAGATTTTCAAATTTAATGCAGTATAAATTTTTAAAGTATTCCCTTACAATGTTTTGGATTTTTTTTGGTGTCTGTTGTGATGTTTCCCCTTTTGTCTCTGATTTTGTTGATTTGGATTTGCTCTTTCTTTCTTTTGGTTAACTGGGCTAAGGGTCTATCTTGTTTTGTCTTTCAAAGGACCAGTTCTTGGATTCATTAATTTTTTTTTGTAATTTTTTTTCTTTGTTTCCATGTCATTAATTAATTTCTGCTCTGAGTTTTGTTTTTTCTTCTTATTTCCTAGGTTTGGGATTGGTTTGTTCTTGCCTCTCCAGAGTCTTAAGTTGTACTGTCAAGTCCTTTACCTGTGTTCTTTCTGATTTCTTTAATGTAGGCACTAAGAGCTATAAACTTCTCTCTTAGGACTGCTTTTAGGGTGTCTCAGAGGTTTTGTTGTGTTGTGTTCTCGTTTCCATTTTGTTCCAGGAATACTTTTTCTTATATTTTTTCTTAATTTCTTTTTTGATTCATTCATGATACAGGAGTGTGTTGTTTAATCTCTGTGAGTTCGTGTATTTACTAGAGCTTTTTTTGCTTTTGATTATAAGCTTTATTGTGGTCTGATAGAAGGCATGGGATTATTTCAATTTTTTTGTATTTGTTTTGTGCCCCAGAATGTGGTCAATTTTAGAATTACTTGCATGAGCTGCTGAGTAGAAAGTATTCTTGGTGGCTGGGTGGAATATTCTGTATGTCTGTTAGGTCCATTTCATGTGGTATGTCATTTAATTCAGATGTCTCTCTGTTTATTCTTTGTCCAGTTGACCTGCCTGTTGAAGAAAGTGGGGTATTAAAGTAGCCCACTATCACTGAGTTGGTGTCAATCTCTGTTTTATAGTCCTGGATTTTACATCTGGTCAGGCACAGAGAACATACACCTGGGAGATGCCCAGTACTAGATGGCACATCTGTAGTTGAGTCTCTACAACGAAGGTTCATGGAACATAACAGAATAAGGGGTAGAGAGAGGGCCAGTGTACTGCTCAACTCTTACCAGCGAGGCTTCCATGTACATCAGAATGTGATGCACACAGAAGGCCACAGCTGGCCAAATTTTGGTGAATAAAGAGACTGTAGCCTGTAGGATGGGACTCCTGTATAGAACTTTACCCACCCACAGCTCAGGGACCTTTGCAGAAGAGGAGGCGAAAAGATTGTAAGAGCCAGGGCTGGTTCATGAACACAGCGAGGTGGATCACTGGAGGCTTGCTCATAGGAGTCTGTGGCAGCAGTGGCGTCATCAAGTGTGGGACCCATGTCAGCTCAATTAAAAAAGGACCCAAAGGGGAGGTGAGAAATAGGTGGTGGGCCAGCACTAGATTGAGAACTATTTGAAACTGATTGCTACTGGGTGAGGGAGAGTATGACTTTCATACGACCCCGGGATGGGCTGACTAGATGCCAGTGGATGCATTTACACTAAAGGACATTTGGGTACAAACACCTGAATGAATAGGACTCAGCATGTGTGGCAGAGTGCATAGGGTTCAGTGGGAGGGAGGCATGGATGGGGGAGGGAGTCTGGACTTGTGGGAAATGCATTAAATTAAAAAAAAAACTGAAAAAAAACCTATCCAAATGTTCATGTAGGAGTGCTGTACCTGTAATTTATAAGGTACAATGTGTGTGTGTGTGTGTGTGTGTGTGTGTGTGTGTGTGTGTGTGGTTATTTATTGAGAACAATGTCTAGCCTGGACTTTCTTGCCTTCCACGTGTGTGAATTACACGTGTGTCCCATCACGCCAGGCTTGGTACATACAGTTTCTGTAGTGTTCAGTCAGTTCTGAAGAGAGGGTGGCCTGCTGGAGGGTGCCCACTGGGACAAGGATCTGGCTCAGCTGGCTGTGAAGATGGTGTCTCTCTTCTCCACTTCCCATCTCTGCTTAGTTTCAAGTAGTTCCAGATGTGCACTGATAGAAGACCAGAAAGGCTCTGCCATTGGAAATGATGGCCAAATCCCTTACAGGAAACGCTAAGCCACAGTTGTTTTTTTATGAAGGGGAACTAAAATTCCTTTCTTTGATTTGTGCACAGGTTCTGGTAAATACTGCTTGCTGTGTTTTGATGTTGGTGGCTAAGCTTATCCAGTGCATTGTGTTTGGCCCTCTTCGAGTGAGTGAAAGACAGGTAAGTCCAGTGAATAGGTTCTTGTAAATAGATTTTTAAAAGGCCCATTTTTATATTTGGTATAATTTTAAGCTTATGGAAAAGTTCTACAAATACTGCAAAGAACTCCTATATGCCCTTGGTCCATATTTACCAGTTGATAGTTTTCTCCTGGCTTTCATATCACTCTGGTTTTTTAAAAATATTCTATTTATTTATTTATTTATTTATTTATTTATTTAATGTGTATGTGTGTATTGCCTGCATGTGGGTAAGTGCACCCGTGTCGTGCAATGCCCGTGGAAGACAGAAGAGGCTGTTGGATCCACTGGAACTGGAGTTACGGACAGCTGTTAGCTGCCATGTGGGTGGCTGGGATTTGAACCCGGGTCTTCTGCAAGAACAGTCAGTGTTCTTAACTACTGAGTCATCTCTCCAGCCCCCACTCTGTTTTTTTTTTTTTTATTTTGTGTGTGTTTGTGTATGCATGTGTATATGTGTGTGTGTCCATACTCAGTGTACCAGTAGAACTTGGGGCATCTTCCTCTCTTCTCCATCTTATTTTTTGAGACAGCATCTCTTACTAAACTGGAAGCTTGTGGTTTTGGCTAGACTAGCTGAGTGGCCACCAAGATCCCAGGAACTTTGCATCTCTGCCTCCCAATATTGGGGTTAAAGGTATTAGAGGCCATTCCTGGTTTTTTATGTGGGTGGTGGGATTTGAACTTGGGTCCTCTTGCTTTTACAGCAAGTACTCTTATCCACTGAACCATCTCTCCAGCCCTCATGTCCATTTTTTACTTATATAAGTTTTTTTTTCTAATCCATTTGAGATTAAGTAGTGAACCTCATACAACTTTACCCCCAGATACTTGATGCAGGTTGTGTTTCCCAAGGGCAAGGACATTTCTTGAATAGCCATAGAACAGTAATAAAATGAGAAAATTTAGCCTTGATAACATATTTTCTTTAGTTGTTTGTATTCAGTATAGCCAAGTTGTCCCATATTGTCCTTTATACCTATTTCCCCATGATTTTTTGTTTTTGAAATAGGGTCTCACTATGGAGCCCTGCTGGCCTGAAACTTGCCAGCCTGAAATAGGAGCAGAAATTGGTCTGACTAGTGGCAAGCCATCTAATTACTGTGGTACCAGTGGACTTTAAATATTTCATTTTCCTTAACATGTTTGCTATCAGGTCAAAATTTACAGAAAACATTACCTTGGAGCAGTTTGAGATTTTTGCTATTCTCCAACTCTACCCTTTTTTGTATAGAACACATCTTTTATGCTGTTCTGTGCTGGCTTATTTTATGATTAATACCATCTAGTAGCATTTATTAAGAACTTTAAAAAATATTATTTATTATTTTTATTTTATGTGTATGTGTGTATTGCCTGCATGTAGGTAAGTGCACTCGTATTATGCAGTGCCCACAGAGGACAGAAAAGGCGGTCAGATCCCCTGGAACTGGAGTTACAGTTGTTCGCTGCCATGTGGGTTCTGGGATTCAAACCCGGGTCTTCTGTAAGAATAACCAGTGTTCTTAACCGCTGAGCCATCTCTCTAGCCCCTATTAAGAACTATTTTGAGGGGCTGGAAAGATGTCTCAGCGGCTAAGAGCACTGACCGCTTTTGCAGAAGACCTGGGTTTGAATCCCAGTACCTACATGGCAGCTAACAACTGTTTACAACTCCAGTTCAAGGGAATCTGATGCCGTCTTCTGTCCTCTGTGGGCCCTGCACAACACAGGTACACTTACATATGTGCAGGCCTTAACACTCAGAGGCATAAAATAAAAATAATTTTTTTTTTTTGTTTTTTTGAGACAGGGTCTCCCTGTAGCTCCAGCTGTCCTGGAACTCACTATGTAGACCAGGCTGGCCTTGAACTCACAGAGATCCGCTTGCCTCTGCCTCCCAAGTGCTGGGATTAAAGGCATGGGCCACCACACCCGGCCCCAAAATAAATTTTTAAAAAGAACTATATTAAGTGAAAACTCTAAAGGATTGATGGAGGTTTACTCCACGGGTGCTTAAGAGTTCAAGTAATAGAGTAATGCTAGAGGCAAAGACATGAAATACGTAAAATGGAGCAAATATTCAGATGTTCAGTAGAGGCTAAGAGCAATGAGAGGTTTTTTTTGTTGTTCTGTTTTGTTTTTTGCTTTATTTTTATTTTATGTGTATGAGTGTGTTGTGTGCATGTATGCAAGTGCACCTGTGTTGTGCAGTCCCCACGGAGGACAGAAGAGGGCGTCAGATCCCCTGAAACTGGAGTTACGAACAGTTGTTAGCTGCCATGTGGGTTCTGGGAACCGAACCTGGGTCTTCTGCAAGAACAGCTAGTGCTCTTAACTGCTGAGCCATCTATCCAGTCCCCAAGAGTTTTTGTTTTTAAAAGAATATTTAAGGGACTGGGGAGATGGCTCAGCAGTTAAGAGTACCGACTGCTCTTGCAGAGGATTCCCAGCACCCACTTGGTGGCTGACAACCATCCATAACTCTAGTTCCAGGTGAATCCAGCTCCCTCTTCTGACCTTCGTTGGCATTGCCCAACATGGGCGCACTTAAACACATATTGGCGATATACTCATACACATTTAAAAAAATAATAAATAAAATATTTTTTTAAAACTGAGTATTTAAAATATTTATTCCTGTTATGGAAAGTTTAAAAGCACTTTACATATGTTAGCTTGTTTAATCCACCAATTCTGTGAGACATAGACTATTCTACTAAGACACATTTTATAGATGGGGAGGCTGAAGCATGGACTGTTGAGGATCCCACTGTTGTACAATCCTCCTGGAAGTGCCAGGATTCAAAACCAGGGTAGAGTATTTCCCAAGTTCTGCTTTCTCTATCCCAGGTCTGAAAGCGGACATTTGCTAAGGATTCCTAGTTCTTTCTGTCAGGCCTTACTAGCTGTACACATTGCACAAGGGCAGCAGGAGCATTGTTGCTGCTGGGGGTCTCATTTTTGGTGGGTAGAATAGGAAATATTCTCTTATGTTTCCCAGTTAATTTTGTTCTCTGAACACAAGATGTAAAGCCGAGTCCAATGTTTATAAACTCTCAGAGCAATTCTTTTCATTGAGCTATGGTCCTGTTGGCCTCAAACTCAGGATCCTCCTGGCTCTGCCTTCCAATTCACAGGCAGTACCCAACCACACAAAAACTTTATTTTTAATTTGTAAAGTGTTTATAGGTCTTAAAATCATAAATAAAAGCATCCTCTTCACCCAGTTCCTCCTGGCTCCATAGATAGCTGGATAATGAAGTATTTTAATATCTGATGCGCTAGAACTTACATATTTGTCCCTTTGCCTTTCCTTCTGCCCCAGGATAATAAAGATTTTCTTAAACTGAAAGTCTAATGTTCTGTGAATAGGGGAAACAGCTTGTGTCTATCTGTAGCCTTTAAAATGGTATGCTGGCAATACCTAGAGAATATTTACTGGCATTGGTAAAATTCTCACAATGATTGAAGAGAGAAAGTAGTGTCCACAAATGAAAATATTTGCACATTGGAGGAAGAAAAAAGATAAAAGGTTATGAGCATGGCTTTCTTCTTAATCTTATTTTGATTCAGTTTAGTTTTGGTTTTGGTTTTTTGAGACACTGTCTCATGTAGCCCAGGCCGGCCTCCCAAGTCTTACTCAGTGTAAGACATCATTTAAAAATTTTTCTTGACGGGCGTGGTGGTGCACGCCTTTAATACCAGCGCTCGGAGGCAGAGGCAGGTGAGTCTACATAGTGAGTTCCAGGACACCTGGGGCTACAGGGAGACCCTGTCTCAAAAAGACCAAAAAAATATTTTTTTTTCTTGTTCCTTTTATATTTTATTGATTATGTATTAGCAAGTAGTCTTTTTATCTTTATTTGTGTATGTGGTACATACATGTATATGTGGGTGTATGTTCATTGTATGTCCATGTATGTGGAAACCAAAGGTAGACTTTGGAAGTCTTTCTCAATTGCTCTCTACCTTAGTTTTTGAGGTAGGATCTTAGTGAATCTGGAGCACTTCCATTTAGTTAGGTTAGTTGGCTGATGAGCTACAGGGATCTGCCTGTTTCTGCTCCCCAGTGCTGGGTTTGCAGACAGGTGAATTTTCCATAGGTGCTAGGATTCAAACTCGGGTCTTCATGCTTGGCAGGCAGTTTCCTATTGTCTCCCTACCTGTACTTTTTAATTTCTTGATCATTTTAAAATCTGATCTTTTCTGCTGTTAGGAATTCACAGAGCAGAAGTATTAAAAATAATACTAATAACCCATACTGGTCATTTCTACTGTGCATATAAAACAAAAAATGATTTTATTTCTTAGTACAGTAGATGCTAGACTTTTCAGCACTGTTATATGGCTAAAGTCTCATGGTGTTCCAGGATTGCGATCCACAGCTCACAGATTGCTTTGAGGATATCTCAGGTCTATTCTTTAGAGGATAAACATTTTCTTTGCTTTCTGTTTTCTTGTGAACAAGTATTCAAACCAAGTACAGCGTTCTGTAGAAGCTTGCTTTTGTTACGTTAACTTCTCTTAAATGGACTAGATGTGATGGTACTCATCTTTATAAACATTTTTTTTCTTTTTAGCATCTCAAAGACAAGTTTTGGAATTTTATTTTCTACAAGTTCATTTTCATTTTTGGTGTGCTGAATGTCCAGACCGTGGAAGAGGTGGTGATGTGGTGCCTCTGGTTTGCTGGGCTTGTTTTTCTGCATTTGATGGTTCAGCTGTGCAAAGACCGATTTGAATATGTGAGTTTTTCCACCAAGCTCTTTCCTTGCTCAGTCACACATGGGCCATAGAGGGCATGCTTTGGGCAGCTTCCTGGCCAGCTGTCCTTTTCAGTTCCTTGAGGAACTTCTGCTGCAGCTGAGGGAGGGCTGCTCTCTAGGGAGGGCTTCTTTCTAGCTCATAGTGTGTGACATTATAGCCTATGTGCTATTTCCTTTGTGGCCAACATTGAATTAGCTCTCTCAGCTTCCTGTGTGGATATAAGATCTGCTTGTGACTTAGGTCCGAGCTGTGCAGGTGAGCCATCCCTCATTAGTGCTCTTGCACCAGTCTCATGGGCCCAAGGTAGACAGGTTGCAGTGCTGCCTCAGTTGAACACACTCCAAAGCTTTGTGCCTGTCTTTACCCAGAAGATAACAGGAGAATAGGAGGTGACAATGTAGCATACTGTGTTGGTGAACTACATGGTAAGGGTCTGTAAATCTCAGCAGTGCATACATCAGGTCATGGCAGAACTTAGGCTATATGCTTTCCTGTGTTTAGTGCAGTGCCCCAAGCACAGATACCAAGCTTGGGTTCTGAGGCCTGTGCCATGTTGGAGGAATGAGTTAACCACCTTTCTGTTTTGTCCTTTTCAGCTTTCCTTTTCTCCCACCACACCGATGAGCAGCCATGGGCGAGTCCTGTCTCTGTTGATTGCTATGCTGCTTTCCTGCTGTGGATTGGCAGTTGTCTGCTGTGTCACAGGCTACACCCATGGCATGCACACCTTGGCTTTCATGGCTGCAGAGGTAAGGTGCTGGACATGGGCTGACTCTGATTTGATTTCTATACATTTTTGAGGAGACCAGAGATACCTGGTTTTCTACTTTAATAGGCATTTATTGTGTTCCTGTTTTTGTTGGGTACTGGTGCTGAATGCTTTTGTATAAGGTGTTTTATACAGTCTTGAAACCTATTAAAAAATAATTGTTTTTCTCAAAAATTAGGAGGCTAGGGAGACAGCGTCGCAGGTAAGAATGTTTGCTGCACAAGCAGGACTTGAGTTTGAATCCAAGAATTGATGTAAAAGCTGGCTATGGCTTTGTGTACATACCTGTAACCTTAGTGCTATGGGGGGGACAGAGGCAGGAGGCTCACTGGACTTTCTGGCCACCAGCCTAGCTCCAGGCTCAGAGACTTTGTGTTAGGGGAATAAGGTAGAAAGTGATAGACAGAACACCTGATGTCTTTTTCTGCCTCCATGTGCATATACATCACATATAGTCTCACACAGGCACACAGGCACACGCACACGCAATGTGCTCTCACATGTGAGCATGAAGAAATCATATAGAAGTTGCCGTATACCAGGGATTGTTCTAGGAACTTTTTTTTTCAGTGCTAGGGATTAAACCTAGGTTATTGTACATTGTGGGTTAGTCTTCTACCATTGGGCTACAACCTCACAGGAATCATTTTACATGTATTGACCTATTTTATCACCTCTGCTTATGGGAGAGATGGAGGACCCTGAGGCATAGGGAGTGAAGGAAATCGTTTGAGGTTCCAGAGTGTTAAGTGGCCAGTCCAAGTCCTCTGACTCCAAAGTTAAGAAGTGTACTCCACATAAGACATAATAAATAATGGATGGTGAAAATTAATGAAATATATATGCTTTTTTAATCTAAATTAATAATTTACATAATAAATATTTAAACTTTTTTTTTTTTTTTTTTTAGTGTTTTTGAGACAGGGTCTCCCTATAAGCCCCAGCTGGCCTGGAACTCGCTATGTGGACCAGGCTGGCCTCGAACTCACAGAGATCCGCCTGCCTCTGCCTCCAGAGTGCTGGGATTAAAGGCGTGCGCCACCAGACGTATACAGTCCGTTATGGCAGGGAAGTCAGGCAGCAGGCAGGGAAGGCATGGTGACAGCAACAGGAAGCTGGCTGGTCACATTGCATCTGTACTCAGAATGCAGAGAGCAATGAATGCGTGTACTGCTCAGTTCCCCTTATTTATTTTTTTTTTTTAATTTATTTTTCTTGTTTATTTATTTATTTATTTTTTACAACACAATTGACATATTCAATAACGTTTTCCTGAGGTAGGATGCATCTCTTTCAAATTTGGCTGTAAATTTTTAGGTTTACAGTTGAATTATTACAGTTATACAATATTGTACTCAGTATAAACCCTATAAGACATAAATTAAATGATGTTTTAACCTTTAAAAAGATCTCCATTTCATTATTAAAATACACAGTTTCATATAGAAAAATTCTTTTTCAATGCAATTGACATTGGATGTTTGCACATCCCAGGCAGGGAATACTGCCACAGTAGGTGGGTGTGTCTTCCTACCTCAGTAAAGATAATCCCCACAGGCATGCTTAGAGGCCCTCTCCAGGAGCTTCCAGATGCTGTTAAGCTGACAATTACCACTATCACATCACCTATCACCTATCACTACTTAATAATGACCACAGTGTGCAAGAAGAGTGAGCAAAGGCACCAGGTATAGAACATGGAAGGACAGGCTACGTATAGTATTATATGGTAATGCTGCAGGGTATATAGGAAAACAGTATATATAATGTTTGTACTAACTCTGGTTTTAAGTGTCTACTGGGTCTCAGAACATATCTCCTTCTGATAAGGGACCACTGTAGTAGATATACTGAAGCTGGTTATTTACTATTGATAAAAGTTAAATGTGAACTACTATTTAGGAATTTTTTTAGCAAAAGGATAAATTTTATTTTTGCCTACTAGTATTTATTTCAGAGCACACTATTGTAGTGCCGAAAAAAGTGGAAAAGGGGTATTTAAGTACTTAATGAAAATACTTGCAATCCTAATTAAATATGTGCATATGAAAGTTTCTAGTAAAGTGTGTTCCCTCTTCAAAGGGTCTGTTTAAGGGGCTGGAGAGATTGCTCAGTGGTTAAGAGCACTGGCTGCTTTTGCAGACGACCCAGGCTTGAATTCTAGCACCCACATGGTAGCTAACAACGATCTGTAACTCCAGTTCCAGGGGATCCAGTGTCTTCTTCTGACCTCCATAGGCTTTGCATGACACGGCTGCACTTACATACATGCAGGCAACACACTTATACACATAAAATAAAAATAATTTTTTTTAAAAAGATCTGTTTAAAGCTGGACTGATATTAGTTTGCTTTCAGTATGTTTTATTACAAAGTATTATTTGAATAATACTCGTTTGCCTTTTTTTTTTTTTTGGTTATCTAACTTTCAGTTAATATTAAACCAGTCTTTGCAAAATATACCTAAAAGTAAACACATTTAAATTAGACTGATTAGCTGGGCATGGCGGCACATGCATACAATTTTAACATCCAGGAGGCTAAGATAGGATCGAGATGAGTTGACTTTAAGGCCAACCTGGGTGATGCAGCATGACCCTGTCTCAAAGTAAACAAAGCATTAGGCCTATTTGGTCATAAATAGCAGACGTACTTTATTTCAGCTCTTTATTATTTATTCTTTTAAGATGATTTATACTGTAGATGCTTTTATTTATAATGCTTTTATTTCATGTAAAATATTTTTCATTTATAAATGAAAGTTTGCTCTCATGCATAAAACAATTCTATCCTGATAAATTAAGAGGAAGAATTTTTTTCTTTTTTCTTTCTTTTTTTTTTGAAATGGGATGTCATGTAACAAACATTGGCCTTGAACTCCTGATCTTCCTGTGCTGAAGATTATTGGTGTGTGCTATCATGTGTGACTTGAGGAAATTTTCTTTAAGATCAATTTCAGTATTAAAGAAATACTTTGAGAGGCTTGTTTGAGTTTTGATTCTCTTTATTTTCTTCTGGTAATGAAGGTGTACACAAAGCTTCAGTCCAGAGCTGCCCTTCCTTGGAGGACAGTAGCACGTGGAGTAGACTTGGTGTCACAGTGTCACTATGTAGTCACACACCCTTTTAGGTAGTGAATTGTGGGGACTTAATATTCTGTCAAATAGAAGTGATTGTTAAATGATTAGGATGAACCTCAACATTGTAAAAGGTGTTCTTAGGGAGTGGACAGGTATGGTTGGCTATCACTTATTAACTGGGAAAGGCTCAACCAAAACTGGGCTCCTAGGTTGTGAAAATATTCCATGGAAATTTGAGGTGGAGGAAGTAAATGGGGCCAAACTTGAGCAGTCTGCTCTTCATCTTTTTTGTTTGTTTTTGTTTTGTAGAAATCTGTTTTTTAATTAGATTAAGAAGTATTTCTCTTTTACAGTCTCTTCTTGTGACAGTGAGGACAGCTCATGTGATTTTACGGTGAGTAGATTTTGTAAATTTTGGAGAGAGATGATTGGTATTTACTTACTTAGCCGACTCTAAGATGTAACAGTGCAAAATATATAAAAATATGACTGAACTATAGCATGTGTAAACTAAATTTAGTTGTAATGGTAAGTTAAGATGTGTTTCTCTTTTTCTATCTGTGTTGCAGATATATAATTCACCTCTGGGACCTCAACCATGAAGGAACCTGGGAAGGAAAGGGGACCTATGTCTATTACACCGATTTTGTCATGGAGCTTACTCTTTTGTCCCTGGACCTCATGCACCACATTCACATGCTGGTAAGTTCCCTCAGAACAAGCTCTGACAGAAGGCTGAGACTTTCAGAGGCAGGAACCCTGGTCTATGCATTAAGAAACAATGTATTTCAAGTATATATGGATGAATCTCTTAAAAGACTACAACATGAATGTAGCTGGGCAGCCTTCATCTTTTGACCACTAAACGTAAAACAGTATTGTGGAACTCCTTTGGTTGGTGCCCAGTTCAGGAGGTGATTCCTGTACTAAGAGAGTTAGTTAACTCTGCCAACCAAGTCAATTAGAGCATTGTTTTAGCACAAATAACGGATACCTTTCCCTATCGTTTTTGTGGCCCTTCGTATTTAGCAGTTATTTTCTAGTGGTAATGAGAATTCCGGCTTTGTTTGCTACTTATGGATTTATGTTTTTCCAACTTTGTAAATAAAAACAAAGTTCTTTTGCTTAGTATCTACTGCCTTAAATATGTGTGTTAGAAATTGATGTTGAAATAGGGTGTCACCCACCTGTAATTCCAGCACTTGTGAGGTAAAGGCAGGAGAAGAATCATGTTCAAGGTGAATCTGGGTTATATATACTAAGACTTTGTCTCAAAAACCAGTGATTGGCTAGGGATACAGCTTAGGTAAAGCACTCGCCTAGCATTGACAAGGCCCTGGGTTTGATCTCAGCACCAGTAGAAAAACATGTAAATTTCCTTGACTGGTGAGCATTTAAGAAGTCTTGACAATGGTGAGATTCAATGTAGTCATGGGCAGTTTGTTTATAAACCTGTCAAAGGAGCACTTATAAATTTTTGGGTTAGAGCATATTTGTAAATGTACTTTTTGAAAGTAACTTTGAAAACAAAGAAAACTAGTGTTTTGTTATATTTAGCTGTTTTTATTTTTAAAAATATTATTTTTATTTTATGCATATGAGTGTTTTGCCTGTATATTTGTAAATGTACCCATGTCATGCAGTGCATGCAGAGGACAGAAGAGGGAGTCGGATCATCTAGAACTGGAGTTACAGACAGCTGTTAGCTGCCATATGGGTGCTGGGAATCGAACCTGGGTCCTCTGCAAGAGCAATCAGTACTCTTAACCACTGAGCCATCTTCCAGCCCCAATTTTATTTTATTTTTTTAAAAATACTTTATAAGCTGGGTGTGGTGGTACATGCCTTTAATCCCAGCACTTGGGAGGCAGAGGTAGGTGGATTTCTGTGAGTTCGAGGCCAGCCTGGTCTACATAGCGAATTCCAGGCCAGCTGAGGCTAAAGGGAGACCCTGTCTCAAAAAGACAAAAACAAACAAACAAACAAACAAAAAACCCCACAAAACTTTATTACACCAGGTATGGCGGTGTATGCCTTTAATCCCAGCACTTGGGAGGCAGAGGCAGGGGATCTCTGTGAATTCAAGGCCAGCCTGGTCTACATAGTGAGTTGCAGGCCAGCTGGAGCTACATGGAGACTCTGTCTCAATAAGACCAAAAAAAAAAAATTACTACATTTGTTTATTGATTGATTGATTGTGTGTGTGTGTGTGTGTGTATGTGTTTATACGTACATACATGCCATAGTGTGTATGTGGAGGTCAGAGGACAACTTGTGAGTTAGTTCTGTTCTTCCACCGTGGTGTCTTAGGTATGGAGCTCAGGTCATGAGGCTTGGGGGCAAGTGCCTTTACCTGCTGAGCTATCTCGCTGACCTCTCAACTGCTTTGTTGAATTTATGAATTCTTGAATTCATAAATTAAGGTTATATTTTGGACATAGTCTGTGTTTGCTTGCTTGTTTGTTTATACAGTGCTGGGTATCAAACTCAGGGCCTCATGTATGGTAGGCAAGTACTCTGAACTATATTCCCTGCCAATTTTTTAAACTACTATGAACATTTTCTATGCTAGCAGCAGTTCTTCTGAGCTATTCTAATACTTTCAGGGTAAAACATTTATCACTTAGATATACTGTGGTTTAATTATCCATACCCTGTAACCGACTATTTAGAATTTATTCAATTGTTTTTAAGATATTTTAAGCCGGGCGTGGTGGCACACGCCTTTAATCCCAGCACTTGGGAGGCAGAGGCAGGCAGATCTCTGAGTTCAAGGCCAGCCTGATCTACATAGTGAGTTCCAGGACAGCTGGGGCTACAGGGAAACCCTGCCTCAAAAAAAAAAAAAAGATATTTTAAAACTTTTTTAAAAAGTCATGTATTAGTGTATATAAGTAGTCATATCCTGCTTTTTTTACTCAACAAATATTATTTACTCAGACATTTAACATTCAAACCTGCTTTATATGAAAATATGATAGTAGGGGCTGGAGAGATGGCTCAGCGGTTAAGAATACTAGTTATTCTTGCAGAAGACATGGGTTCAAATCCCAGCACCCACATGGCAGCTAACAACTGTCCAACTCCAGTCCCAGGGGATCTGACAGCCTCTTCTGTCCCCTGCAGACATTGCATGACACAGGTGCACTTACCTACATGCAGGCAATACACACATACACATAAAATGAAAAAAAAATTAAAAAAAAAGAAATATGATAGTAAAATATAATTATAAATTATTTCAGTAAGTATAGCTTGTGTTTATATAGATTATAAACTATATATTCCTGTGCTAGGCATCCTGTTCATGTCCATATTTGCTTTTTAGTAATTGCTGGGGTTGGAGATATAGCTCAGTTGATAGTGTTTGCCTAGCATGCTCGAAGCTGTGGGTTTGAGCCCTGTACCTGGGGTGAGGATGCACGCCTGCAGTTCCAGAACTCGAGAAGTAGAAGAAGCAGGAGGATTAGGAGATCGAGGCCATCCTTGGCTACATGTGAGATTGAGGCCAGCCTGGAGTACAGGAGACTTGCCCCCTCAAAAAAAAAGTGTGCATATGTGCATGCGTGCATGCGTGTGTGTGTGTGAGAAAGTTTGTATGGATGGACAACTTTTTGAATTAAGCTTTTAAATTTCTGGTTAGCTACTCAGGAAAGGTTGCTGGCAATGGGATGCCTAGTCTGAAGAGCCATTGTTTACATTGTTTACATTGTTTAGGGTAATCAAATAAATGCATTCACTTATTTACCAAAAGACTGTCCCATTTTACTTTCACCAGCCTTAACTTGTACATGAACTTTCCATCACTACCAAATTCACATTTCTATTCTTGTGTGACATATGTGTATATACATGTTTTGTGTATGTGTTTGGATGTGTTTGTGGAGGTCAGAGGTTAGTCTCTGGTGTCTTCTGGTATCCTCCACCGTAGTTACTATTATTTTTATTTATTTATTTTTATCTTCTGTGTATGAGTGTTTTGACTACATGTATCTTAATATACCATGTGTGCAATGCCTGCAGAGGCCAGAAAAGGGCATTGGATCCCCTGGAACTAGAGTTACTGATGGCTGTTAGCCACCATGTGGGTGCTGGGACCCGAACCTGCACCTTCTGTAAGAGCAGCCAGTCTTCTTAACTGCGGAGCCATCTCTCCATCCCCAGCCCATTTTATTTTTTGAAATAGGACTTCTTCACTGAATCTGGAGCTCACTGATTATCTAAACTGACCAATGAGTTCCGGAGTCCTCTTGTCTCCATTCCCCCAGCTCTGAGGTTACAAATGTACAGGGCCATGCCTGGCTTTTTATAGGAGCACAGAAGGTCCTAACTCAGGTTAGCTCAGGTCCTTATGCTTGTATGGCAAGCACTTTAGCCACTGAGCTATCTCTCCAGCCCTCACATTTGTTTTTATTGTATGTTTTACTCCTTTTTTTTTCCTTCTCTGTTTTAAGTTATTTGGCAACATCTGGTTATCTATGGCCAGCCTGGTCATCTTTATGCAACTTCGTTACCTGTTCCATGAGGTACAGCGTCGAATCCGTCGGCATAAGAACTATTTGCGTGTTGTTGGGAATATGGAAGCCAGGTAAGTGAGCACAAATAGATGTTGCCTAAGTTTGTGCATTTTAGCTCTTTTTGTTTTGCTTTGAGTTTTGGAGTTTTGAGACAAGGTCTCACTGAATAGCTTAGGCTGACATCAGCCTCACCGCTACTATACTCATCCTCTAGGCCAGCTTTAAACTATAACCTTCCTTCAGCTTGCTGCTGCAGGCATTATAAGTGTATGTCATGCACAACTTTCATTTTAGTTCATTTAATAATGCAGTTCTTAGGCAGCCACAGAACTTGCTTTTGTAAACTGGTAACGAGACAGCGAAGAGTACAGGCTGAGGTGTCAGACTGCTTCAGTGCAAATCCCTCTTAGATGCAGGGTGGTTTGGGGCAGTTTATTAACTTTATATGATCGTGACCTTATCTCTAAAATCGAGATGAATAGAACTTTCTTCCTGGAACTGTGGGGGGGCGGGGCGGGTTCCATGAGATATTAGGTTTTTACTCCTGTGTTGTTATCTGTCATCGTTACTGAGTGGAAGTTGTCTATGATCTTCTGCCATTTATGTTTCATCTCAGTTATGCTTAGTGCATGCATGTTTATGTGCATGCTTACTCACTAAAGAAGGCACTTGCCACCCTGAGGGTAACCCGAAGCCTAAATGTGCAGGGTTAGTGGGTATCCTTTTTGCTTCTTGGAGATAGTTTGGATCTCTCTTATTTCTCTGATTTGACTGGAAATGTACCCTGAAGGCTCTACTGTTACAGCAGAATTTCCGTGCTTCTTTCTCACTTGGTCTTTTAGGGGCATTATTATTATTATTATTATTATTATTTCGCTGATCAATTCTGCTGTGTAATGGTGCCATTATAAATGTGAAGTGTATAATGTGGTATACATATATGTATGTGATGGGTTCCTGCTGGACCTCTTATGTGTTTTACAGGTTTGCAGTTGCAACTCCAGAGGAGCTGGCTGTCAATAATGACGACTGTGCAATCTGTTGGGACTCAATGCAGGCTGCAAGGAAACTGCCCTGTGGACATCTTTTCCACAAGTAAGAACTTTTTGCACGGCTATGTGGGACTGGGGTTCTTTTTTTTTAATATTTTATTTATTATTTTTATTTTATGTATATAAGTGTATTGCCTGCATGTATGTGAGTGAACCCATGTTGTGCAATGCCACGGAGGTCAGAAGAGGGCTTTGGATTCCCCTGGAACTGGAGTTAAGGTGGGTTCATAGCCACCATGTGGGTGCTGGGAATCGATCCTGGGTCCTCTGCAGGAGTGGTCAGTGTTCTTAATCGCTGAGCCATCTCTCCAGTCCCAGGACTGGGGTTCTATCCTAGGGGTGTAAGTGCTTTTGAAAACAATCTCAGCAATGGAGTGAGGATGTTACCTCAGACTGGCTATGCTGCTTTGTCTGGTGTTTTTTTCCTGAGTCTCTTCCTTCCACCTGTAGACTGTACATCACCCACATTTGCCATCTTAATTTCTAGATGTATTAGCTGTCTTCATAATTTTTCTTTATTTAAGCTCTAAAGCTAACATATGCCTGTGAGATTCTTTTTAAAGGGGTTTTAGCTTATTACCTAACTAGGGAAAGAAAATCAATATATTTTTGCATTTTGCTCATATGCAGAAGCAGTGTGAAAACACTGCAGAAAAATGACTGAAATGCAATCAGACCAAGGCCCACATACCGGGCTGTGCTGTAAGTCTGCAAGCTTGAAGTGGATCTCTTATTCTCAGAGGTCTTATCAGGGCTGTTTAAATGATTCCTTGATGGATTTGGTTATTTCAATACATTTAATTTTCTTTGCCTTTTTTGTTTTCCTAATATCAGATGGGCTTTGGAGCTTATCCCACTCAACAGATGTCCTGACAGAATTTCTTTGTGTTAAAACTAGGTGCTTTGTTGGGCTGTGGGGATAAAATGGGAATGACAGATAAGGTCTCCATATTTGTGGCACTTACAGTCTAATAGAGGAGCTAGACTTGAATTAACTGGACACATTTAGAATGTGCAAGTCTGAATTGACCTATCTGCTTTATAGAAAAGGAACTTGGCTCTGAAGAATTAGTAACAAAGGAATCTGGCTCAAATTTGGAGGAAATGACTTTCGAGGATGAGCAGAAGTGAGCTGTGTGAAGGTGGGAGAGGATGTAAGATGGGAGACACAGGGAGCAGTTCCAGGAGTGCAGAAGCTGGTGTGTTGAGGGAACAAGAAAGAAGCCAGTACGTGGAACTCATGTAAGAGAGATGAGTGTCTGCCAAGGTAGGAGAAGCAGGCAGGGTCTGGAAGGGGGATGACACTGGAGTCTTTAGAGTGTAGGTTTGTGGATGAGACTTGTAGTTTGTAGCATCGGAGAGATTGACTGGGAACTACCATAGTGGCTCAGGTGTATTAAGAGTAACTGGAGCTGGATGTTGGAAGCTTGCTTGGGAGAAGAGGCTGGGTCTGAGAAGGATGGAAGGATATAGACTGACTGGCTGTGGGAGAGTGAGGAATAAAGGAGGCATCTTAGAGTCTCCCAGCCTCGCAGCATGGGTGATTACTGACAGTGCTGCTGTTCTCAAATATTGGAGAGATGCGAGAATTTGTACATACTTCCTAGAAACCTTTTAGTCTCATAGGAACTTAGAGGCTAGTTGAGAAGAATAAGAGTATCTCTTAGCCTAGAAAAGTTATTTTTAAGCATATGATTGATTTTAGGGCTTGATTATTTTAGAGAGTATAGGAGAAAGGGCCAGGTCTTGCAATGCTGCACTGGCTGGCCTTGAACTACAGGACTCAAATGATCCTCCGATATCAGCTGTCCCAAGTAACTGAGACTATAGCACACAATATGTGTCAAGCCAGGCTTTTAAAAAAAAATTTTTTTTAATTTTTGGTCTTTTTGAGACAGGGTCTCCCTGCAGCCCCAGTTGACCTGGAACTCACCGGGTAGACCAGGCTGGCCTTAAACTCACAGAGATCCTTCTGCCTCTGCCGCTGCCTCCCAAGTGCTGGGATTAAAGGCATGTACCACCATGCCCAGCTTAAGGCTTTTATTTTTGATTGAAGCAAAATTCAGATAGCATACAGTCAGCCATTTTGATGTGTGCAGTTCAGTGGTATTTTGTGGGTTTATAGCTGTGTAGCCACCACAACTTTCTGGTTTCAAAACTTCTTTTCCCAAGAATAATACCCCGTCCTCACTGGATAACCACTCCCCATTCTTTTTCCCTGACAATTACCCATCCACTTTCTGTCTCTATGGATTTGCCTGTCTGAACATTTTATAAGAAAGAACATATAATTTTATATAGTCATACAATGTGTGACTTTTCTTCTCTTAGCATATGTTTTTGAGATTATCCAAGCTATAGCTCTATCTTTGGGCCATTCAGAGAATAATAATGCTCTAAACATTTGGGAATGACTGTTGGAGTACTTACTTTTTAATTCCCTTTTGAATATCTTTAGGAATGGAATTACCGGATAGTATTATAATAATGTGTTTAACTTTGGGTTTGTGTGTGTATGTGTGTGTGCGCACGCATGCTGAAGATTGACTCTAGTGTCTCATAGTTGCTAGGTGAGTGCTCTACTATTGAGCTACAGCCAAACCTCAATTTTTAATTTATTAACATTTTTGTGTGTGTTTATGGTAGAGGTCAGAGAACAATCTTGGGAATCTTTGCCTTCCACCCTGAGGCAGGGTTTCTTTGTTGTTTGCCACTGTGCTACAGTAGACTAGCTGACTTGTTAGCTTCTGGCATTCTCTTCCCATCTTGTTATAGGAACATCAGCGTTACAGATATGCACTTCTCCACCAAGCTTTTTATGAGGTTTCTGGAGATTTGAACTCAGATGCTTACATGACAAGCATTTTACCTACTGAGCCATCTCCCCAGTTCCTGTGTTTAACTTCTTGAAGAACTGCCAGTTTTCCACAGCAGCTACACCAGCATATATTTCACCAGCAATCTATCAAGGATCCAGATTTTACACATGCTCACCAATACTTGTTATTATGTTAACTATAATGGGGGTGAAGTAGTATGTCACTGTGATAGTTGTATTTTGTTTTGTTTTGTTTTGTTTCTTTTTTAAGACAGGGTCTCATGTAGCCTGGGCTGGTTTTTAATTTGATACATAGTTGAGGGATGACCTTGAGCTCCTGATTCTCCTATCTCTACCTAACTCCACTGTACCTGGCTCGTTGTGATAATTGTTGTTGGGGTTTTTTTTTTTTTTTTTGGAAAAAAAAAAAACCAACACAACTATTCCTATAGTTCCAGCTGGCCTGGAACTTGCTATGTAGACCAGGGTAGCCTTGTTCTCACAGAGATCTGCCTACCTCTGTCTCCCGAGTGCTGGGATTAAAGGTGTGTGCCACCATGCCTGGCTTGTGAAAAATTTTTAAGTGATCCTTCTCAAATATATTTTTGTGATGATAGATAGATAGATAGATAGATAATATAAAACTTCATTTTCACCATCTAAGTATTATAGTTCAGGCATTAATCCATGCATATCATTGGGCAGAGTCTAGCCACCCTGTATTCCAAATCCAAACTGTCCCCATTAGACAGTCAGGCCCTATTATGCCCACCATTCTGTTTTCTGTCTTTATCAAGTTGACTATTTTAGTACTTCTGTTGACTTTGGGTTTATTTTATTCTTTGACTCTGGTTTAAAATTAGGTCACTGATTTGAGAGCCGCCTTCTTTTTAAGTATTTTAAGGTATAGATTTGCCTCTGAATACTGCCTTCTATATATCTCAAAAGTTTTTGAACTTTTGTTTTTAGTCCCATTTGTCTCAAAGTTGTTTTCTAATTTTCTAAGTGATTTCTTCTTTGATCCAGTGGTTGTTTATACTTAAGGCTTAATTTAAAAACACTCTTTTGGGCTGGAGAGATGACTCAATGGTTAAGAGCACTGCCTGTTCTTGCAGAAAACCTGGGTTCTAATCCCAGCACCCACATGGTGGCTAACAACTCTGTATAACTCCAGTTTCAGGGGATCTGATGCCCTCTTCTGTCCTCTTAAGGCACTGCATGACACAATTGCACTTACATGCAGGCATAACACTTATACACATTAAAAAAAAAAAAAAAAACCACACACAAAAAATAAAGCCACTTTTCTGCTTCATGTTGGCAAGCCATTGTAAGGTGGATCTTGGTTTGCTTCCCTTTGTAGCTTTGATAGTAGAGCCATATGATGCTCAGCTAAGCAAGTTCATTTTAATTTATGATAAATCCAAATGCCTAGATTTCAGCAGACAATAGCCAGAATATTTGTGTTATAAAGGGTTTTTATAAGATTTTAGAGTCTGGGGGGCTGAAGAGATGGCTCAGCGGTTAAGAACACTGGCTATTTTTGCACAAGACCCAGGTTTGAATCCCAGCACCCACATGGTAGCTAACAACTGTCCGTAACTCCAGCTCCAGGGGATCCAACAGCCTCTTCTGTCCTCCACAGGCATTGCATGACATGGGTGCACTTACCTACATGCAGGCAATACACACATACACATAAAATAATAAATAAAATATATAAAAAGAGATTTTAGAGTCTGGTGACTATATAATTACATTTTTAAGTATCATACAAAGACAGTGGACTTATGATTACAAAGAAAAGTGTTTTCTCTGGTGATCATCACATGATGAGACTTTCCTTTGTAACTTTATGCATATGTTTACAGACATTTTTAAGAAAAAGGCACTCAAGGGGCTGGGGAGATGACTCAGTGGTTAAAGTGCTTGCTGTGCAAGCATGAAGACCAGAGTTTGGAGCCCTAGAATCCATGTAAATGTGGCAGCTCCCCTGTAATTCTGATGCATGGAAGACAGAGATGGGAGCCCCAGAGCAAACTGGATAGCTGTACTAGTGGTGTTGGTAAACGCAGTTCAATTCAGAGACCCTGCTTCAATGAACAAGGTGGAGCCACTAAGAAAGATTCCTGATGCAAACTTCATACCCACACATACGCATGAGAAAGAAAAAAGAAGGCACACAAAATACTTTTTAAAAAATTCTTGAACTCTTGGAGAAAGATAATGAACTCTTTGGGAAAGCCTGAGTGAGCACTTCATCCGGCATCTCCTTTTTCATTGGAGAGAACTGGTCCAGAGAGATTGAAAGATTTGTCAGAGTCTCACAGTGTCTGCATTGTGGCCAAGCCTTGCATTTTCTACTTTATTCTCTAGGACGCTTCCCTTTAATGGACATCACAAGTATTTAGTGAAAGTCTACTATAATTAGGGCATTATTTCCTAAGAGGGTTAGCAAAGCTTTTAGCTTTGTTGGAAAGCAGAATGTAAGGGGAAGAGGGTGGAGGAAAGGGAGGTGGTAAATGTGTGGAAGTGGCTGCAGGTGACCTTGGTGAGGACGGAAGAAAGGAGCTGGGAGACTGACTTCATGAAAAAGTGGGTAATTGGTCTTGGCACATCAGGCTCCAGGGAAGTGAATTGGAAAGAGAGGGATGAATTAGTCACAGTTTTGAAGACAAGACCATATTTGTGGGTAGCTAAAGCAGTAAACAGGAAGATCACTAGAGTAGAGGACTGAGGATGGAAGAGACAGATTATTGGATGACTGAGCCACATGGATATTGAAGTCGCCATATAGAGTCCAAGAGGAAGATGACAAGCCATCCTGTGAAGTGATTGAGGAGGGGCAGTGACTAGGAGAGTGGGAGACAACTGTAATAGTGGAGTCAGTGTTCACAGCAGGTTGTGCTAGAGTGTATTAGAGTGGAGTAGGGCGAAGAGGTGACATGTTTGTCAGCATCTGGATCTCACTAGTGGTAAATAGAAATACAATAAATTTGGAAAATACATGTGATCACAGAGTACTTCTAGTGAATTCTCACTTAATACACTAAGGAACAGTTATGTTCATTTATCATCCTTTGGACTCTCTGATAGCTCCTGCCTTCGTTCCTGGCTAGAACAAGACACATCCTGTCCAACATGCAGAATGTCTCTTAATATTGCTGACAGTAATCGTGCCAGGGAAGACCATCAAGGAGAGAACTTGGATGAGAATTTGGTTCCTGTAGCAGCTGCTGAAGGCAGACCTCGCTTAAACCAGCACAATCACTTCTTCCACTTCGATGGTAAAATGGTTTCAGCTTCCAAAACTACTCTGGGGGTTTTCTATCCTAAGGGGACACTGTTTGGATTAAAAATTGCTTTGTATAGATAAGTATTACTTAAAATTTTTAAATTACATTTATTTATTGTGAGTGTGCACACATGTGTGCACATGTATGTACAAATTCCAGGGTGTACCTGTGGAGGTCAGAGGACAACTTGTGAGACTTGGTTATCTCTTTCCACCATGTGGATCCTGGAGATTGAGTTTGAGTTGTCAGCCTTGGCAGCAAGTACATTTACCTGCTGAACAGCCTTACAATTACATTTTAATTATATATAACATACATCATTTTTTTTCTGAGTTTGTGTTACTTCACTTAGTATAACAGTTTCTAGTTCCATCCTTTTACCTGCATATTTCTTTTATATTTTTTTTTTTTGAGACAGGGTTTCTCTGTATATCTCAGGGTAGCCTTGAACTTGGGATCCTCCTGCTTCAATCTCCCTAGCATTGGGATTACAGGCCTGTACCACCATGCCGGAACTGTACTTCAGTTTTAATTGAAACTGTTCAGGGTGGATGGATGGGTAGGTAGAACTGAGGTGTTATTCAGTACCATCATAAGTGGGATAAGGTGAGGAGGTGGAGGTAGTAAAACAAAGTTAGCTATGCCTTCAAGGAGCCCACCTAATGAGCTTAATAGTCTTTGCTAATAATTGGTTGCATTAATATGGTATTTGAGCATCTAATAAAGGGTCCTTATGTAGCCTTCCCAGGGAGTACCCTGTTGCTTTGTTAATACAAGCATGACTGTTCTTGCCTCTTAGCAGTTTGGAAACGGAGCAAAACAATTGTACTAAAATTCTAAGGCTGTGGTCACTGTATTGGGCAAATTATCTTCCCTTGATTCACATGCACCATATAGATATTGAGTCTGTCCGTTCCAGTGCCACTACACTGTGTGAATTCCTACTCTGGAATTTTCTTAGGAAGGATGCTTTTGAGACTGATTTGAGTCTCCAAGAGTGAAGTATGGTGAGTGTTGGTGCACTCTTAAAAGGCCTGCGGGGAACAGAGTGATTAGATGAGGCTTTTAAAGAGCCTGTTTTGCCTCCTAATTAAGACCTGTACTGGGTACAACTTTTTTTCTTTTTCAGTACTAGGGATTGAATCTAAGGCCTTACACATGGTAGGCAAGCTCTTTACCACTGAGCTGTATTTTTAGCCCTTTTTCTATTTTCTATTTTGACAAGGTCTCATTGAGTTGCCTAGGCTGATCTTAAACTATCTTAGTAGCTCAAGCTGGCTTTGAACTTGTTATCCTCCTGCCTCAACCTCTTGAGTAGTTAGAATTATAGTCTTGCACCACCAGACCTGGCCTATAGGTATAACTTCTGAAATGTATTAGCAGATCTGTAGTAGCAGATCTTGAAAATGGATCCTAGCTATAGAAGATGTTATTTTGTTAGTTGTTATTACAAAACTATAGTCAGAGTCATCTTTGTCCCTTGTATGTGCTTGAAATTAGTACCCTTTTATAACAAATACCTTTTATTTGGCGAGACCTTTTGTGTCCCATTCCTTAGTTCAGCATTGTAAAGGAATGAAGCAGCACCCTACATGTGCAACTTGATTATGAGGTGTTTATCACACAGCTGACACATGATGGCTTTATATTCCTGTTTCCCTTTTCCCAAGAGAAGCAACAGAAACAGCAGCCTTCATGATGTCATCACCCCATAAACCTGTATTATAGAACTCTGAAAAGAATTTTGAATCCAAAAACTATGGCCCTTTTTTTTTTTTTTTTTTAAGGTAGGGTTTCACTGTGTAGCCTGGCAGGCCTGGAATTTACAATTCGGAGTAGGCTGGGTTCAAACTCAGAGATCCACTGCCTCTGCTTCTGCTGCTGCCTCCTGAGTGCTGGGATTAAAGGTGGTATACCACTACTCCTGGCCCAAGGTCAGATCCTTAAATCATACATTTTTTTTTTTTAAGATTAAAAAAAAATGTGTATGTGTTTGTGTCGGTGTGTGAGTACCTGCACATGAGTGCAGTTGCCCTCTGAGGCTGGAAGAAGGTGTCAGATCCCTGTAATTCAAGTTATAGGCAGTTGTGAGCTGCCATGTGGGCTCAGGCCCTCTGCAAGAGTAGCAAGTGATCTTAACTCCTGAGCCAGCTTCCTTAAATTGTATTTTTAAGAAGAAAATATTTCATGAATATTATCTCCAGATGAGTAATTTATGTCTTGGTGTGAGACAGGAGTGAAAATCAGCTATTGAGGCAGCTGGGGGGCCATGGGAACTTTCCTTAGGTTCCTTACTGAAAGAGTGGATTAGGGGTGGGGTGGATCTAGGCTCTGCAGAGCAGGGAAAGCTGCTAGAGTAGTGCTTTAGAGTCTGACTATGGGCTTCCTACCTTACTGTCTCATTAAACTATGTAAACTAAACTAACTTCTTAGTGCCTTGGAGATCAAAGATCAACACAAAACCTAGAGTGAGATCTCCAAGAAGAATAAAATGAGAGGAATGGAAAGTACCATGTAGGTTTTAGTGAGGATGAAATGAACGAATCTGAGTAAAACACTTGGCCAAAAAGGCCTGGCAGAAAATAAGCCCTCAGTGAATAGCAGCTGTTGCTAGAGTGGCTGAGTAGCATAGATGACATAGGGCAGAGACCAGGGCTCTAATTCTTGTGCTGGACTCTGGTTTGTTTTAGGGTCCCGGATTGCGAGCTGGCTGCCGAGTTTTTCAGTTGAAGTGATGCATACTACCAACATTCTTGGCATTGCACAGGCCAGTAACTCCCAGCTAAATGCAATGGTAAGAACTGCTAACTGCTTTCAGATGAGAGCTGGTGAATAATTAAGAGGGCAGCAAAAGCTCTGGGGTATGTGCTCAGTGTATATGACCTTACTGGTTTTATTCTTATTTAGTAGAACAGCAAAGTTTTCAAGGACCTCCTCTTCCCGCCTCTTTCCTCCCTTCCCCTCTCCTCCCCTTCCATGTCCTCCCTTTCTCTTGCTTTTCTTTCCCCTCCCTCCCTCCCATTCTTATTCAGGAGATTGAATCCAGGGCCTTGCATGTGCAAAAACATGTACTGTACCACTGAGCTGTATACCTGCAGTGTCATCAAGGGACATGAGTCTCTTAAGAAGGGTGGTTTCTGGTTTCCCTGAGGCAGATTATAAGCACAAATAAGGTAATTGTTGGTAGTGAGTAGTGCTTAGATGGCAGTAAGGCAGGCAGTAGAAACCAATCTGAAAGCTGGCATTCATTTTACTTCTGATGTATAGTATAACCTTTAATGAGTATTGTTACGTTTACTTAACTGTAACCTATGCCTACATTGAGACTACTTGATTTGAACCAAAAATTTGGAAGGATTATTGACAGGAGTGAATGATGTATTGTCTATAAAAATTGTATGAGGTCTATCAAGGACATATTTTGTACCTCTGTCCCTGAAAAGAGAGAGAGAGAGAGAGAGAGAGAGAGAGAGAATATGTGTGCATGCCTTATAGAATCAGATAAGCTGTTGGCTTAAGGAGATAGTTCAAATACTTCATAGTTCTTTGTATTTTAACAAAGGCGTGTATTTTTCTTTTACAGCAAAATTTCACTCTTGCTAAAATCTAGTGTTAATGTTATATTATATGCAGGACTCTGACAGTGCCTCTTTGTACCTCTTTGTACCAGGGCTTCTGGCTGACTTAGATAAATTGTCTTGGCCAGCAGCTCAGAAGGTCATTGATTCATTTGTTGATTTGTCACTCTTAATTTCTCTGTCAAATTGGTGCTAAAATTCTCTGTGACTGGACTGTGCTTGAGCTTAGTACCTACAGTGTCATCAAGGGAGACATGAGTCCTCTCAAGAAGGGTTTGCATGTGAGCTGAAAGGTTAAGATGACGCAGATGTGTGGGAAGAAAGCAGTGGGTATAGCTGCTAGGCTGTTGGTGAGGAGTGCTGGGAACTCAGAGGTTGCCCTGCTAGAGCAGATTGAGGCTTATCACTAACTTGAGACAGTACAGAGATTTTCCATATACCCTTCCCCAACATGTACGTGGCTTCCCTATTATCAACATCTCCTACAGGAATATTATGTTATTATAATTGGTATATACATTGATACAACACAGTCACACTGTAATTTTTGTTAAAGTTTAATTAATGCAAATTTGGACATAATAATGAATATCCACCATTACAATATCATTCAGAATATTTTTCATTGTCCTGAAAGTGCTGTATGCTTCACCTGTTCATTCATCCTCTCCCTCTGGAAGCCACTAACCTTGTTACTAACTCCATAGCTTTGCTTTTTCAGAACGTCAGACTGTTGGGATCATACAGCCTTTCCAGGTTGGCTTCTTTGACCTAGCAATTTATATATAAGGTTCCCCCATGTCTTTCATGGATTAATAGCTCATTACTTTTAAACACTGAATAATATGTCATTATCTGCATGTGTAATAGTTTATAATAGTTCATGTATTTTTTAATAAAACTTTTGGAATGCTTTAGTCAATGGAATGGAAGTATAACAAATGAATTTTAAAGTACAGTCGATACATATGAGTAAGCTCTAACACAAAGGTACCACACCTCACAATGAAAATACAGTCAGATGGGGGGCTGGAGAGATGGCTCAGTGGTTAAGAGCACTGACTGCTCTTGCAGAGCACCCAGGTTCAATTCCCAGCACCCACATGGTGGCTACGAACCATCCTTAACTCCAGTTCAAGGGGAATTCGATGCCCTCTTCTGACCTCTGCGGCAGTGCATGACATGGGTGCACTCACATGCATGCAGGCAATACACTCATACTCATAAAATAGTAATAAATAAAATAATTAAGAAAAATTAAAAAAAAAAAGAATACAGTCAGATGGAAGACAGCCAAAGTCTAAATCAGAGAGTTGGGGAGGGATGCATATGGGACAGGAAGAGACCTGGAACTGGCTTTTCAAGATGTACTCCACTGATGCCTTCCACTTCTGGACTTGCTAGACTCTGGCTGGATGGTTGGAATATATTCTGGTATTTGGTCCATGAACAGCAACAAGAGGATCTGTTGTGTCTGGAATCGGGAAAGAGCTCAGAATCTTGGGAAGACTCCAGGCACTAAATTCCTTGATGAACAGACATTATAAGAGCACAAGAGCTCCAAGACACCAATGGCACCACAACAGAGACCATGAAGAATTATTCAGGTTACTCCTTCACTGGAAGGTCAGACTGGAGTAACTGCAGGAAGGTCTTCATGGAAACTTGAGCCTGTACAGAGGAAGTAACACATCCAGGCATTGGAAACAATTTTTAAAAAATATTTTTATTTTATGTGTATGAGTGTATTGCTTGCATGTGTGTAAGTGCACTTGTGTTGTGCAATGCCCAAGGAGGTCAGAAGGGGGTGTTGGATCCCCTGGAACTGGAGTTAGGGATGGTTGTTAGCCGCCATGTGGGTGATAGGAATCAAATCTGGGCTCTCTGTAAAAGCAGTCAGTGCTCTTAACAGATGAGCCATCTCTCCAGACCCCAGGAACAATTATTTTAAAGATTTATTTTTGTTTTATCTGTATGAATGTTTTGCTTGCATGTATGTGCACCACGTGTGTGCCTGATGCTGGAGGAAGTCAGGGGGCATTGACTCCCTTAAAACTGGAGTTATGGACAGTTGGTAGTTGCTGTGTGGGTACTGGGACCCGAACTCAGGTCCTCTGCAGGAGCAGCCAGTGCTCTTAATTAATTGATGAGCCATCTCTAACCTCTGTACACCTCTTTTTTTATTTTGGTCTTTTTGAGACAGACCCTATAGCCCCAGCTGTCCTGGAACTCCCTTTGTAGACCAGCAAGCTGACCTCAAACTCACAAAGATCTGCCTGCCTATGCCTTCCAAGTAAGTGCTGGGATTAAAGGTGTGTGCCACTACGCCCAGCTTCCTCTGTGCGCTTCTTAAAGTACTTCTTGCTTTCAATTTTGGCAATTATGAACAAAATTGTTGTAAACATCTGTGTGCAGACTTTAAAGTTTTTAATACTGAAAAATGTGGTTACTAGACAAAATGTTAATATGCTTAGTTTTAAAAGCATGTTTTAGTATTTTTATTTTATATGTATGAATGTATTGCCTGCATATATGTAGTAAGTGCACCCATGTTGTGCAGTGCCCATGGAAGTCAGAAGAGGACGTTGGATCCCCTAGAACTGGAGTTACAGATAATTGTTAACCGCCCTGTGGGTGCTGGGAACCAAACCTGGGTCCTTTTCAAGAGCAGCTAGTGCTGTTAACCAGAGTCATTTCTCCTGCCCCATATGCTTAGTTTTATTAGAAGCTGCCCTGTCTCCCATTTTGTATTCTCACCATCAGTGAATGAGAATCCCTTAGCATTCTTGTTAGGATTTAGTGTTGTTAGTGTTCCAGAATTTGTCTATTCTGATAGGTTTATAGTGTTACTAGTTTTCATTTTGTTTTGGTTTTTTGAGACAAGGTCTGGCCATGCCAATCAGGCTGTTCTTGAACGTGTGGTTCTCAGGTGTGTGCTGAAAACTGCTGGTTTGGCAACCTGTTGTAATTAAGATGAGGAACAACTTCCGTGCTTATGTGCCATCTGTATGTCTTCTTGGATGAGGTGTCTGCAAAGTCTTACGCCCATTTTTAAATCAGTTTCTGCTCCGTAGTTGAAGTTTTTAAGAATTGTTTGCGTGTTTTGGGCTTCCATCCTTTCTTAGATGTCTTTTGTGATTTTTTTTCCAAATTCTGTGGCTTTATTTTGTTCTCTTATGCATAACTGAATTTGTGATTCTCCTTCCCCAGCCTCCTAAGTGCTGATATCACAAATACGTGACCTCACCCAGAGCACTCAGAACTTTTTAATTCTAATGAAGTCCAATTTATCAGTTACTTGTTTTCATAAACTGTGCTCTTAGTATTACAGTTAAAGTCACCTAGTTTTCTTCCATGCTATCTTCTAGGAAATATTATGTATTTTTATTTTACAGTAGCTCTATAATATATTTTGAGTTGATTTTTGTGAAGGGTGCGAGGTCTGTGCCTAGGTCCATGGTTTTGCTTGTGGGTGCCCAGTTGTTCCAGTATCATTTGTTGATTGAAAAGACTGTCTTTGCTTTATTATATTGCCTTTGCTTTTTATCAGAAGTTGAGAAGAACTGACACCCTGACAGTTCTGGGTATTCTTACTCATGAACATGGATCTCTCCATTTATTTCATTGTTGTTTTTACTTCATTAAAGTTTTGTAGTTTTCCTTATATAGATGTTATATGTATTCTGTTTGTTTGTACTTAAATATTTTATTTTGGGGTTGCTTAAATGTTTTAAATTTTCAATCCCACTTGTCTGTTCATTGCTGATTTACAGAAATGTGACTGACTTTCATATAATAACCTTGTATCTTGCAACCTATTCTGGTATAATTGGTTATGAATTCTAGGAGTTTGTTGGTTGCTTCAGACTTTTTGTGCAGGTAATCAGGCCACCCGCAAATAAACAGTTATACTACTTTCTCGTCTCTGTACTGTATTTCCTTTTCTTGTCTTTTAGCACTAGCTAGAGTTTCCAGTAAGGTGTTGAAAAGCAGTGGTTAGGGGCGATGTCCTTGCTATTTTACTCATTTTAGGAAAGCTTCATGTTTCTCACCATTAAGTATGATTTTTAGCTGTAGGTGTTTTTTTGTTTTTGTTTTTGTTTTTGTTTTTTAAAAGATATTCTTCATCAATTTGAGAAAGTTTCTCTCTATTCCTGGTTTACTAAAAGTTTTGTCATGAATGGGTACTTGATTAAGTGCTTTTTCTGCATATATT